TTAGTTTCACTCATTCTTATTTTATCATAAAAGAATTAAGGTTTGTATTTTCCTCTAGATGCAGCTTTGATTACATTTCACAGATTTTTAAAGTTGGTTTCTCAATGTTGTCCACTTATAAGTATTCTACAATTTCAACTTTGCTGTCCTCTAGCTTGAGTTATTTGGAAAAGCATTTTAAAATTATCATGCACAGGGGCCTCCCCTGGTGGCGCAGCGGTTGAGCGCTGGGCTGCGAGGCTGCCCACAGCCTCTGCAGCACTGGTTCATTCCCTGGCCTCTGGCGAGGGTCCCACAAAAATAAATAAATAAATAAATAAATAAATAAATAAATAAATAAATAAATAAAATTATCATGCACATAGTTTGCTTTTTTACTTTTTGGCTACTTGTTAATTCTAATTCCATTGTATTGAGAACTGAAACTATGGTGTCCATTTTGGAATTTGAGATTTTCTTGTCATCTGGTACAGGGAAATTTGAGAAAAGGGTATTTTCTCTTTTTTTTTTTTGAGTATATATACTTACTATCTTCAAATTCTCCATATTTTTCTTTGGAGGGTCCTTGTACCATCATCAAATTGAGTATTGTGCTCCAGGGATTTATTGTTCTTCACCTTCTGGTGGTTTCTTGTCCTCTGTGGTTCTGTTGAAGTTAAGGTCAATGATTACTGTCTTCTTGGAGAAACAGATCCATGAACAGTATAAATGCCCTGTTTTAGTCTATTAACATCTTCATATTTTGTGTGATGGTGATGTTTTCTTGTGCATTTTTTGTACCATTTTGCCTGTTATGCCTTTTTGCCATTTCTTTGATTTCAATTTTTCCTTGTCAATTTAAGTGTGTTACTTCCAAACAGCATATGGCTGGATTTCTTTTTACCCAGCCTAGTCTCTTGTCTTCACGTAGTGCACTTTATTCACATTCGTGTGTTTATTGATATCTTACTGTATGTCTTTTGCACTTTTTTTCTTTCCTGTTTAGTTTTCCTTTTTTGACTCTTGCCCAATTACTTGAATTTTCTCATTTCTTCCTTCTACTCACAGTGGTTTAAAGGTCTGTGTCTCACTTTTCTTCTAGATATTTGTTACCCTTAAACAAAAAATTGAAACTGTTAATATCAAGAATTAAGTGGTATCTAACTCCCAATAAGACAAGATCATGCTGATTAACATTTCTTTAGATTTGACTGTACGTTTTTCTCCTTTTATTGTTCATCACTGTTTCCTGTGTATCCTGCTTGCACTTTATTGAATTACGTATTCTGATATAGTTTCTATTTTGTTGGAGAATTCCTTCAGTAATTGTTTAAGATAAGTGGGTGGCTCACTATTTTTAGTACTTCTGTCTTTGGCTTTGAGACTTGGCTGAGTAACTGATCTCAAGGTTTCAACCCTTTTTCCTCAGAGCTCTGTAGTCTTTGCTCTGTTGCCCTCTAGCAGTTAATGATGCAGAATGTCAAGTCCAATGTCAATTTGCGACTCAACATTTTTGTAGTGGCTGGCAGAGACAAAGCTGAATTTATTGCTTGCCTGGGTAAGGAAAGCATCACCCCGGTGGAGCCTCGACCTGTCTGGAGGAGGGAGGCCTGGTTGGGCTTTGCTGGGAATTGAAAGTTTCCCCTAAAATGGGTATGCCGGTGGGAAGCTTGGTCCGGATTATGGAAAAAGTACAACAGTCTGGGCCTAGCAGAAATGGTGAGGAGGAATTTTGAAGAAAGGCAACAAATTCAAGATATCTTGAAGCGGTGGATTAAAGAGCTGATAAATCCTTATGTTTCTGTCAGGAACAGTCAAGCCAGTTGCTAGGGCTAGAGTCTCCTGGAAGAAAGACTCGCTGATGAAGAGAGTAATTAATTACTCTTACTGAATTAATACGTAATTCAGTAAGGTGTGGGGGTGGGTGGCTTCCATCTCCCCTACCCCATGTATCTTTGGAAATCTGAGGGATTCCTCGTTATCCATGGATGTCAGGAAGTCTGTCTGGCCTGCCCTGTTCCACCACTGTGGAGGGGGGCAGAGGGATACCTCTGAGAATTTCCTAGTGCTGGGTACATGGGCCCTACCCTGCCTAAGTGGAGCCAGGCTGCCTTAGTTCTGACTAGATTTTGCTGTCACGCCCACTCTCTGCTTTTCCTCGGGCTTGCTGGTCAGCTGGTGCTGCTCAGGATCTTCCTTATTTGTAATCCCTCTTTTTATTTCAGTGTTTGGTGAGAAAAGGTAAATACACGGGCTTGGCTTGCCATGTGGATGCGTGGGTGTGTGTAGTGTTTCCCCAGGGACACAGATGCAGGTGTGTCCATGGGTCCTCCCACCTGTCGCTGGAGGCCAGGAGCAGCCTTCAGGTGATGCTGGCCTCACTGGTGAGCAGGAGAGTGGGGTTTCTCTCTCTGCCTTGCCCCCCCTGCCGAGCACACCCTCGTTCTGACCACATTACCTCATGATTAAAACGATTCGGTGACCTCACTGGGTCGCATGATCCAGGCTGGTTCATGTGTCAAGCTCTTGCCCCACCCAACTCTTCCCTCATTAGCTGTTCTGCTCCTTGCCTCCAGCCATACGGATGGCATGAGATTGCTTGAACATTCAGCCAGTTTGGAGTCTTCTGTCTATCTTCACTGTTCCCTTTGTTTAAAATACCCGTGTGCTCTCATGTTCAGATATCATCCCAATTGATTCTCTTTTCTCGATGCCTTCACATATAGTAGCTTAGAACTAGTGACACTGCAATGCATACCTTTGATTCCTGGACCCTCTTCCACCCCAACTGTGTTTTCTTTGAAGATAGGGACTGAATCTTTCCCATCTTTTATCCCCGGCACTTTACTACCTGGCCTGACCCAAAATAGGCATTGATTGCACATCTATTAAAAGCATGAACATAGACTTGGGTCCTAAGGAGAAGTATTCTACACTGACTGTGTGAGACACCATACCAGGCTCTGGGGGTGGGGATGGCCAGGCTGACCCTGCCCGAGGCGTATGCAGTCCACAGAGACCCTAGAGTCTCTGTGCACAGAGGACACTATTATTTAAGAAGCACAGCAGGTGTGCTTTGGGAGTTCTGAGGAGGCAGCACTTAAGTCTAGTTGTGGGGGAGCTGGTTGAACCTTCTGAGGATGGTTGGGCAGGATTTGACCAGGAAGATAGTTGTGGGCAAGGAGAGTCACTTTTGAGCAAAGGCTGCGAGGTAGGAGATTGTGTTTCTTCACTGGGCAGAATAGAGCACAGTATTTTTATTAGTAATTGAGATCAATTGGAAGGTATGAGGTTAGATGCGATGCGCAGTGATGGAGAAGTTTTGATGGTTTGGAGAACAGAATCAGGGAGTAATAGACATGATAGCTGGGAGCCACTGAGCAGTGTCATCTGCACCACTATGTGGTGGGGGTGCCACCCTGGGTGTGGGACCAGGCTACCTAGATATTTGGTAGCAGGAGGCATGGAGGGGAGGGAGCAGCACAGGGGCTTTGGAGGATCAGCAGTGGGATATGGTTGCCAAAGCACTAACTATTCCAAGGCTGTGTTAGTAAAAAGCACGGTGTCCAAGAGAAGGAAGGTCGCAGTGCCCTGGGCCTGTGTGTAGTGACACAACCCTGGATTCTTAGGCGCACCTGGGGTAATGTTGATGGCAATGCCGTGTGCCAGGCGTTGGCCTAGGGTCTTTATCCCTATCATGTCATTAAGACCCCAGGACGCATATGCCATTCCTAGCCCCCTTTCCAGACACAGCCAGGAGAGGCCTTTTCCCAAAGCCTCGGGGGTAACACGTGGGATTTGAACCAGGTGTCCTGGTCCTGGAAGCCAGGTTCTCAGCCTCCACACCACACTGCCTCCAGCGGATATCCAGAGCGCAGCGTGGCTATGGCAGATTATGCCATCACCTCACCAACTTAAAGGGCTTAGTGACCTCACTCTGCACGAACCATACAATCTACTACAACTCACCCTTTCTAGTTCATGATGCCCTTTCCTCTGTATTTTCTTATTTGATCACAACAGCCGGCTACATTAATGGTCAAAAACTGACCCTTGTTCAGCTGTTCACCTAGAAGAGGTGTTGAACTCCTGCCCTGAGCCATGCCTTCTGAAAGCTCTGTTTTGCTTAGTGATTTGGGGGGAATACACTGTGCCCTTCTGCCCTTATCTGTTGAATTCTCACCCATGCCCAAATGTGAGCCCTTTCTACAGGTTGTTTCATTTTCTCTTGCCGTGTAGCAAAATAGTGGCTTCCAACATAGTGGCTTAAGCCAGGGCTCATTTGTTAGCTCACAGTTCTGTAGAAAAGAAGCATGGAGGGGCTGGATTCTCTGCTAATGGCTACAATCAAGGTATCATGTAGGCTGAGTTCTCACCTGGAGGGTCTGGGCAAATTCCACTTTCCCAGGCTCATTCAGGTCCTGTGATTGTAGGTCAGAGGTCCCATCTTCTTGCTGGCTGTCAGCAAGGTCCCTCACAGCTCCTAGAGGCTGCCCTCAGGTCCTTCCCAGGGGACCCCTCCATCTCTAAGGCAGCAGCACACATCAGTCCTCCCTCTGATTCTAACTCTGCAACTTCCTCCTTTGTGACCAACCAAAGAAAACTGCTTTTCTCCATTAGGACAAGGCCACCAAATTCCCTATCTGAAGCACAACTTAAGCACATAATCTCATTGTGGGAGTAAACTCCATTGAATTCACAGCCCTGGGGGTGACAGGTACACCCCAGAGACATTTTGGGTGCTGGTCCAGGCCACCGCAATAAAGTGAGTTGTGACTTTTTGGTTTCCTAGTGCATATTAAAGTTATGTTTACACTATACAGTAGTCTGCTAAGTGTATAATAGCTTTGTGTTTTAAAGAACAGGGTACCTTAATTAAATGGTGATGCAGAGAGATGGAGTGAGCACAGGTGGAAGGAGGTAGGGGCCTGGACCTCGTGGGACCCAGCAGAGATTGTTCCATGTCTAAAGAAGCTGACCAAGCAAACTCTTTGACCATGTTTTTCAACTGTCTTCTGCAGAATTCCAGGCACAAACCCGGCAGCCTCAGACTCATTCATGGAGGAACCTCAAGAGATACTGGCCAGGTGAGCGCTCCTTTCCAGAAGAAAGAGCAGAGTGTGAGGTGGGCAGCTGCAGCAGGAGTGGACATGAACGCTGGTTTTCAAAGAGAACAGCGTTTTAGTTTCGGCCATCGAAAGTGGTGTCTTCAGCACAGGTAAGAAGCCGGCCTTGCTGGGCGCCACTTTGTCTTCCTTGCATGAGCTTGCAAGTGCTCTTCCTCTTTACAGTGTTGTGTTATTATTATTGTTACCACCGCCATCCTCATTACTTCCTTCCTGGAGCCTCTGTGAATGCTGAAGTGCTCTGGTCTTTAGGAGTACAGCCCTGGTCCCAGCACCGAGTCTCCCCAATTCCTCGGTTTCCATCTGTTCCTGCAACAGTTCCTCTCCTGGGAACCCAGCCTTCTCACCTGTTAGCTCCCTGTGTTCTCCTGCCTTCTAGAGCTTGAGCTAATTTCTGCTTCCCTCTGCTATCCCCATGGCCGTCTTGTCTGAAGAGGCCCCTCCCACCCTCTCCTTAATCACAGAAGCTCGGGGTGCCAGAGGCCCAGCCGCATCTGCTGAGTATCCTCCCTGTTGTAAAGAACTGAAAGGGAGTCTGGTCCCTGGCTGCACAGTCTAGTCACCTGGAGATTTAAACCCTCCCCATAACCCCACCCCAATGAACTCAGTTGGCCCAGGAGGGCCCCAGCACTGGTGTCTCTCTCTCTCTGTGTGTTCGTGCGTGTGTGTGTCCTTTGATAAAACTTTTCAGGTAGAGGTTGTGGTTTCAAGTTAGAAGTTTGGGTCAGGTGTGTGGTGTTCGAGGCTCTTTGTGTCAGGAACGTGTCCTTGGATATATTGTCTGAAGTACAGCAGTATCACCCAGGGAGTGTGTGGGAGTTCCTGATTAAAAAGGAAAAATAAAAAGCTGATTTCCTGGCCTGCTAGACTTTCCAGAGCAGACTCTAGGGTTGGAGGCCACGAAGTTGTATTTTGATTCTGATACAACTGAGGGAAGGGTGCTCTGGGGCCTCTTTCCTGGGACTCTGGAGATCCAGCCCTTTCTTCTCCACAAAGATGCATCCCAAAGAAAGGCAGTAACAGCATCCAGGACAGCCTTTCCCAGGAAAACCTACATTTCAGGAATCAGTAACACCATAATGAACAAATTGGTTCCCCGCCTTGGCTCCCTGGCCCATCTCATGGTGCCTCAACTTGGCATTTGTTTCCCTGTGTGCATATCATCTCAGGGTGGAGTTTGGAATATTCTGCCAGGTGTGTAATAGATATCTGATCTAGGTGGGAGGAGAGACCTCCTTGGGATGCCAGCAGAGATACAGGAAACCCTCCTCAGTTTGGCATTTGCCCTCCCCTGCTTCTTTCTCAAATAATCTTTTGTCCATGTGGGTTCTGCCAACAGTGTGAGGGGATGGGACTGGCCCAGAGGGAAATGAGTTGTCAGTTCCAGCAAGAAATCTGGTTCCCACCCCTTCTTGTGCTTTCCCTGGGGATGGAAAGCATCCGGGGTTGATGGGGTACTGACTCAGTGCTTCTGGAGTCTCTGGGCCACTGCACCCACTGTCGACACTGCCCCTTCCACTTACCAAGGAGGGAGCTGAAATAAATGGCCTCTGAACAAGATAGAAGGGTCAACCTGGGAGCTGGTGGGTAAACCAGACAGGTGGTGGCCAGTGCCAGCTTTCGGTGGCATTGCAGACCCCCCTGTGCTGGGGAGGCCCCTCAACACCTGGTGAGGATTATTAATGGCTCTGTTTAGAGTGATTTAAGGACAGGGAAGTCATCCACTCCCCTGCATCCTTTAGTACAGGCCTGGACTGGGGCTTTCTCCAGAACAAATGTGATTTCTGAATAAGTGATTAGAGCCAAACCTAATTTGAAAATGGATATGAAATCACTTTCTCAGCAGCAAAGTTCTCTGCTAGTAGTTTCCAAACTTTTTTAGTTTTAGAAACCATTTTTAATACTCAAATCTGGCATTGAATGCCCATATATGAAAAAGGTTAAAAATGGTAGTTTGTTACATTTCTTAATATACATTTTCTTTTTAATTTTGGATTTTTAATATCCATAATTATGAAAGTTTGTCAGTAGAGCAATGACTGTTTTGAGACAGGCAGACATTGAAATCCAAATCAGAGGTCAGCAAACCCCACCCTGTGGATGTGACCCAGGCTGCTGCCTGATTTTTGTAAATAAATGTTGTTGGGACGCAGCCTTGCCACCCTTTTACAAAGAATCTGTGACTGTTTTCCACTGTAATGCAGACAAATAGCTGTGACAGAGACTATCTGTCCACAAAGACAAAAATATCTGGTCCTGTATAGAAGTTTGTTGGCCACTGCGCTAGATGACCCTAGTGGGGCTGTGTCAGCTGTGACAGCCAATACTGACAATTTGTTTTTGTTTTGTTTGGCTTGGTTGCTCAGTATTAAGAAAACCCTAACTCAGTAAGGTGACATGAGTGCTAACAGATCTCTATCATCTCATCTTGCAGCCCAGGATGGTCTTCAGTTCAGTGGTATGTGGACATTTGGGAAGGGCTCAAGGGATTCTGGTTTGCATTCCAAACCAGAAGTGCACAGTCTTTTATGATTTCTTGGTAATGATGCATGCAACACATTCCTGTAAAGTTGAAAACTTTTGGGTGTACTTGCTTGTGTGGTTTACATAGATGTGTATAGTCTTAAATATAAAAACAGCAATGTGAAGATGCCCAGAAAGCTCTCATCCCTCTTGTTGAAGACACATTTCAACACTGAAGTTCAAGGTCTACCAGGTCTTGGTCCAAAGCCTGCACCCATGAGTGAAGGTGCTGTACCCACATTGGCTGTGCTCAAAGCTCCACCAGGCACGTTGGGATGTGCCTGTCCATCTTCCATAGTGGTTTTCAGAGGAGCCAAGTGCTCTTTTTAGAATAAAATCTCACATAGCTTTTGAAGAACCTCTGAAATGTCCATAGAACAAAGTTTGAAAACTGCTCTTTTGGTGAATTTCTGTGCTTCAGGATAACAGAGGAGCCAAGGATGCTGAGAGTGAGGAAGGGAGGCAGAGGGGAAGTAATAAAATATGGTAGAAGAGAGAAGCGGGGGTTGGGGGTGTGGATGGCAGGGAGGGCTCCAGGGTGAGGAGGGACCAACATGGTGGAAAAAAGACTCCAGAAACACAGAACAACCTCGGAAGCACCTGCCAGAGCTTGGGGTGGTTCCTGGCATTTGTTGGTAACTACCCTAACACAGCTCTCCAGGACTGTTCTAGTGATTTTCAGCTATCAGGTTGAAAGAAGAGGCCCAGAAGGACATAGGGGGAAATTAAAATATGTGAAGATAATTGGAGGGGAGAAGAAGGGTGGTGAGGGAGCATATAAGTAGCTTCTAATCAGCACAAAAGCACTTCTTGGCCACTGAACAGGGAGAGGCTGAGGGGCAGCAGAGGGGTTAGCTGTGTTAACTGGCCTAGCCAGGCCTGTGCAGGAGGTCCTTGCAAGCCTGGGCAATGGCGAGCAACCTGGATGAGGACAGATGTCAGGTCTCGAAGGAGATAGTGGCTAGGGTTGTGCAAAAGCCACAGAACCAGGAATAAAACCCAGGAGTCCCAGCTCCCAGGTCACCTACCTTACCTCAATGGCTACAAGGAAGGGTGGGACCAGCCTAGTGGCTTTGAGAGCCAGTGGGTCAGAGAAGGCCTCGAGGGGATAAAAAAGCACCAGTTCTTTCTGAGGTTTAGCTGCTTACCCCATAGAAAAGAAAATTTTTAGATTTTAAAATGATGACCTCATTTTGTCTTATTTACATAGCCCTGTTTGTTTATATAGTCCTTTAAATATAGCGCACATGTGCTAAGCTTGGTGCTCTCTCCCACCACCAGCAGCACAGCCGCTGTGTGGGGAGAAACACCTTTTTATCTAAGAGAGGGCAGCCTTGTTTCCGAGGACAGATGGGAGCAAGACGGGACAGGTAGGAAGTTTCGTGGTTTTTTGTGTCGCTTTTCCAAAATAGCCACACTCCTACCTCCCACTTCCTGCCTGACTTGACTCAGGGTAGATTTTCCCCTGCAGAGGCCTTGGACTCTGTGGATTTTCAGGGAAGCTCAAAGGAAGTTGTTGCATGCTCGACCCCAAAGACCTTGAACTTGGTGCTGTGTTTGGGTCTGCCCTGTGCCAGCTGGGTGACCTTGGAAGGCTACTTCAACTCTGTGCCACATCTGTAAAATGGGGACAACAGCCCTGCCTGCACTTGCTATATGGATTAAAGGAGGGGATGTGTGAAGGGCTCAAGGGATTCTGGTTTGCATTCCAAACCAGAAGCGCACAGTCTTTTATGATTTCTTGGTAATGATGCATGCAACACATTCCTATACAGTTGAAAACTTTCAGGTGTACTTGCTTGTGTGGTTTACATAGATGCGTGTAGTTTTAAATATAAAAACAGCAATGTAAAGATGCCCAGAAAGCTCTCATCCCTCTTGCTGAAGACACATTTCAACACTGAAGTCCAAGGTCTACCAGGTCTTGTGAAAAGGGGCTAGCCCAGTGTGGACACATGATAACTCTTAATAAATCTCTTAATAAATGACAGTGATGCTGTCCATCACTGCACTGGCAGGCATCTCCCCTCGACCCGTTATTGCAGTCTCCCAACCCCCTCTCCATCCCACTGGCTTGTCTGCTCTAGCCCATCTCTCTGTCAGACCACAGTGATAGAAAGAGAAAACACACAGTTGACCATGCTTTTCTCTGCTAACAACCCACCCATAGCTTCTAATACCTGTGGTAAAGAGTGGCAAAACTTTTCTCTAAGTGGTCAGATAGTAGATATTTTAAGAATGGCTAGCCGTACAGCCTCTCTCGCAGCTACTGCCTCTGTGGTTGTAATGTGGATCTGTTACGGACACGTGTAAAAGAATGCGGGGGATGGCTGGATTCACCAGCCCCGGGGCCTGCGGGATGAGACCAGTGCCCAGCCCAGTCATTCTCCTTCCCTTCTCTTCCTCCTGTCGTACTCCTAAGGAACTCCCCACACTTTTACCCTTTGCACGAAGTTCCTTCCTCTTGGATGTTCCTTCTGGCTCCTGTGTGCCCCTCCCCCATGGTGTTAGGTACCCTATTATTTCTCCACTGCTCCAGCAGGCCAGCACCCACTGTCTTTGCCTAAAG